GTTGATGAGATTCGAGGAGGTCAGAAATCTGATTTGGGTTGGTAGATCGGTTGAATTTGATGAATCAAAGTCGAAGGACTGATTTTCGGATTAATGGAAATGGTATCATGAGATGTCGTGATAGAGTTTGTGTTCCATATATTGTTAAGTTGAAGAAGAGTATTCTTGAGGAAGGACATTTAAGTGGATTTAGTATCCATCCCAGTGCTATGAAGAGGTACTCGGATTTGAGGAAATTGTTTTGGTGGTCAGGGATGAAGAAGTGGTTGAGTTTGTATATGCTGGTTAAGCTTGCCAGAGGTCGAAGATTGAACACCAGAGATCGTTTGGTCTAATGAAACCATTGAATATTCCAGAGTGGAAATGGGATAGTATTTCCATGGATTTTGTGTCAGGTTTGCCGAAGAATGATAGGGGGATATGATTCAATTTGGGTGATTTTGGATAGATTGACTAAATCGGCTCATTTTATACCAATGAGGATTAATCATTCTATGTTAAAGCTAGATGAGATGTATATTAAGGAAAATGTAAAGTTGTATGAGATATCGTAGAATATTGTGTCAGATAGAAATTTGAGATTTACATCGAGATTTTGGGAGAGTTTGCAGACGCTTTGGGTACCATGTTGAAGTTGAACTCTGCCTATCATTCACGGATGGATGGACAAACATAGAGAACTATCCAGTCTTTAGAGGATTTGTTGAGAGCTTGTGTGTTGGATCAAGGTGGATCGAGGGATAGTTATTTGTCGTTGGTTGAGTTTACCTACAATAACAGTTACCATTCTAGTATCGGAATGGCACCGTATGAGCTTTGTATGGTATGAGGTGTAGGACTTCTTTGTGTTGGTATGAGTCAGGCGAGAGTGTTGTGCTCGGGCCTGAGATTGTGCAAGAGACGACTGAGAAGATCAAGAGGATCCAAGAAAAGATGGATGTTTCGCAGGGTCGTCAGAAGACTTACCATGATAAGAGAAGGAAAGCACTTGAATTTCAAGGGGGAGATCGTGTGTTTTGAGAGTTACACCGGTAACTGGTGTTGGTCGAGCTTTGAAGTCTCGGAAGCTCACACCATGTTTTGTTGGTCTGTATCAGAATGGCGCAGCGAAAGCGTGGGAGAAGTAACATGTTAGATTGTCCTACCGCTGTCGATTATGAATTTGCATGATGTGTTTCATGTGTCTCCATTGAGGAAGTACATTCCAAATCCGTCGCATGTGATTCAGATGGATGATGTACAAGTGAGAGATGATTTGACTGTTGAGGCATTACTAGTTCGGATTTATGAACGAGAAGCAACTCCGAGGTAAAGAGATTGCCTTGGTAAAGGTAGTTTTGGGAGGACCAGCTAGAGAAAGTTGGACTTGGGGGCGTGAGGATCAGATGAGGGAGTCATACCCGACTCTGTTTCCTTGAGGTGATTTTCGAGGGCGAAAATTCTTTTAAGTGGGAGAGAGTTGTAACACCCCCAAATTTAATTAGAATATTTTAATTAATTTATTTAATTGAAAATATTCGTATTTCAGTGGTTTTGTGGGTTATTGGGAATTATGCATTTTTGGATTATTTATTTAATTAATAGTATACAATATGGAAATATTAGTATTATTATTCGTTAAAATATATATAAGTGAAATAAGGATAATTTGGGCATTAAGAGGAGTTAGTATGGGTGTTATGGGAAAAATCAAATTGTGTGGCCCAAGACTAGGTTTGACAAAAAAAAATTTGAAGGGAATTAGGATTCATTTTGTTAACCGTGAAAAGTATTGAGGCCAGAGCTCTGAGGAGAAGATTGGAGACAGAAGCTTCGAGAGATTCCCTGAAAGATTGAAAAGTCTTTGATCGACAACTAAGGTATGGGGAGTATAGCCTTTCATAATTTTCCATGTGTGACTTTCAGTGTATTTAAGATTGATTTAAGGGTTTAAGAGTTTTGAGACGAATAATGAGAAAAAGGGATTTTTGGCCTGCGTGGCCTAAATCGATTATTGAGAATTTTAACCGTAGGGATTTATTTGGGAAAAAGGGAAACCATGCCTTCGTGGCCAAAAAATATGATTTGACATTGGTCTAACCCTGTAGGGAAATTTGATAGTGAGAACCCTGATGGTTGTGGTGTAGTGGTAAGTATTCTTGACTGTTAGAGCATAGATATGAGAAATAGTGATCTTTGGCCTTCGTGGCCTAAACCTATTAGTGTGAATCTAACCTGGAATCCGTTGGGGAAAAGGGAAAGGTAGGCCTTCGTGGCCAAAACCTTGAATTGTTATATGTCTAACCCTGAAGGGATAGAAATATTTGATAGTGAGTAACTCTATGCCTTAGGGTGTAATTTAAGGAAAAATTGTGATTTAGGGCGTGAATATGTTACGGGATTGGCCTAGTAAACCATAGGTTTTGTGCCTTTATCGTCGTAAGATCTTATGGATGATTTAAAGATGTTTTGGGGGAATTGGGGAAGTGAATCATGTGGACTTTTGGGTTGATTTAGGTTCGGAGCGTAACAGCGTTTTGCTGTCCGTCACGATTGTTCATGTTTTCGGTCAAAATCGTTTTGGACGTAACTTTTGATCCGTAAGTCCGTTTTGTCCCCCGTTTGAAGCGTTGGAAAGCTAATGAGCAGGGCTATAACATATTATAGATAAGGGAATTGGTTTCCCAATATTTTTATATCTAATTATGTTTGAGAAGTCAATTGTGTATATGTTCTATTAATGAATCATGTTCTGGTTCAGTGATGTCTTGATGTTTTGATGTTGCGACTTTCCTGATGAATTACCATGAGGGTAACTGTGATAATATGATAAATTAACATGAGTAGGATTGTGAAGTTTTTGTGATTAATAGGCGATAGTATGAGAATTACCGCGAGTATAATTATGAAGTAATATGTGATAATATGATGAATTAATATGAGTATGACTGTGAGCACTATATGATTTGTATATGATTATATGATGATTTCCATTATGTATGATGATGATTATTATGATTATATGATGATGATTATTATTCTAAGTGTTTCTAACACAGTGATGGACTTGTAAGATTATCATTCTAAGTGTTTCTAACACAGGGATGGACTTGCAAGATTATCATTCTAACGTTTAAGTGAATAAATAAGAAATAATGTTAATGTGAGAATAAATTGAATACATGAATTTTGACACGTGCAAAACATTATGTATGAAAGATGGTTAGAATGACTTTCGACGAATTCGGCATGTCGTATAGATCACCGTTGGATTAGTTTAAAGAATGGAAAGTTGGTAGGAGGTCGAAATTGATTAAGATGGTATTTGTTTATCACGCATTTGTTCATGGTACTTAACTATTGAAGCTTGTTGTGTGAACATTGTGAGCTGTCCAGATCAATCCTTAAAATAATAATTGTATTTATAATGTTTATGAATTAAATTGAAATAATAGTTATATTTCAGAAATTAAATTGATTTTTTTAATGAAAAACTTTAAAAATATAATTTTTAATATTTGAATCTCATAGAGATTCCCTGCCATAAAAATAAACAGTAATTTTTTCAGAACTAACTTTTTGCATATTATAAATGTGAATATTGAATTTCCTGCAGAAAAATGTTGGAATCTTAATTTTCCATTATTTATGGGACTTTTGTTTCCATTTGTTGAAAGGACATGCAATGAAGTGAATGACGATGATTTATCATCCACTCACCGTCCAAAACATCATCCTGTCATTAGTCAAATCCATCTACGTACCAATATCATCCATAACATTGTCATCATCATCAACACTTCTTCTACTTCACTTTCTTTCTACCTAAACCATAGCATGCAAATACATGAAATATAAATAAATAAATAAAATACTAATTACATTTTCCTTAATATTAAAGAAATTAATGAGAACATGTGAAGCCTCTAGACAGAGTTCAAATATTAAATAATAAAATATAGATCATTCATTGATTAATATTTAATCACATGCCATTGCTTTGTAACGTACATGTACAAATTGTGAAGTTGTCACCATGTGTATTAAATTAAGATAAAATACAAAGGTAAGATGACCCTCCACCTATAAAAGTTTAAGGTGGTAGCTTAGCTTTTTTGTCTTAATGGGGAATAAAATAAAAGTGAAAAGGAATGAAAACTGAGGGTTTCACTTTAATTGTACACCACTAAATAATAATTAATGTATTAAAATTTAAGCATAGATCTGATACATAGGCATGAACCACACATTGAAAATATTCAAAAATATTATGATTCTATAAGCAGAAAATTCCATGAGCTATATGGTTCCAACCAACAATATGGATCAAAAAGTTCATTAGAAAAAGAATGATGATAGCTAAGACCGGCCAATATAACTGAATGGGACCTTGGAAATTCAATAATTCAATATAGATATGAAATAATGCATGGGACCATATAATTGAGTTATCTTTGATTTATTTAAACTTTTTTGTATGTATATTTTGCATCATAGATGTAAGGAAAAAAGGTACATAAGGTTTGTGCCCTTCCCTCAGATTTCACTAAACAACGTGATAGGGGTAACTTGCTTTTCAGCCACCAATGTCCTACATGACAAAGGACATGACAATTCCACATAGTACTCATAATATAAAGAAACATTTTCTTTATCACATCAAGTGGTAGTGAGTGATAAATTATTTACTAATTATATTCATACAACTATTCAAGGAAAAACAAGTATCAATTACATTATCATTTCAAAACAAAATGGAATACCTCAAAATTTTATTCCTTCTCTGCACATTACTTAATGGCTGAAAACAACTTAAAAGAAAATCATCACCAAATTATATACAATGAGAGTTTCTCTCTTCTTGGCGGCGGTCTCCTTTATATTGCATATTTTGTATCAGAGTAAATTTGTCGAAATTATTTGTCTTCGACAAATGCTGATACAAAACATGCACATATAATCCATCAAAGAGAATGGATTCCATTACAATATCTTTCTCTCATATTCCCCAAACATTCCATTTAACAAATGACACAAGCATTGGGATTCTCTTCCATACTTTGAACATAATAATATGTTGTCATGTGAGGATTATAAGCCCTATAAGCCTTCACCATTTCTAAAACAGGGTCAGGTGCTGGTGCTGGCTCTTTCTTCTTCTCCTCTTCTTTCTTCTCTTCCTCCTTCTTTCCCTCTTCTTTCTTCTCTTCTTCTTTCTTCTCTCCCTCCTTCTTTCCCTCTTCTTTCTTCTCTCCCTCCTTCTTTCCCTCTTCTTTCTTCTCTTCTTCTTTCTTCGGTTCTTCTTTCTTCGCCTCTTCTTTCTTCTCTGGCTCCTTTGCTGGTCCTACCGAGATTAAATCCGCTTGCCAATATTTTCGAAGCTTGCTCACTATTTTTACTGGATCCACAATGCCTACCACAGTTAATTTCTTCTCCTTCATGTCCATGGTGATGGCATCAATCCCTACATATATAGTAGCAAGATTTATGTCACAGACGAATCTCAAATTTTGTAAGTTATGTATAAATTAACCGCAGTTTATTATGATAAAATAAATAAATAGTATATTTAAATATACTTAACTGCCCGAATAATTTATATAACTCTATTTAACTACCGTTTAACTAGAAAAAAAAAAAAACCTGAACACTATACAACAAACAATGTGAATTTTTCATAAAAAAGAAAAGAAAATAGACAGCCTTAAATTTTTCTTGATCCAAATTATGTGAATCATATACTATATGTTTAAATAATGACTTGTGATGTGTAGCAGATCAATCAATTCTTGATATATATGAAATAGGATTGCAACAAACATGTTCCTTTCGAATCACGAAAACTCATTTCATAATAATATTTTAATACTCTATAGCAATGGAACAATTTTTTTATGACATGCTAAGCTAAAGTCACTGTCTATTTAAATAAAAAAAATATGATTATATATCAAAAGTAAAATTGTATAAAATATTTAATAGATTAAGATAACAATATAGTTTCCATCACCTACCACTAATTAGTTACCCATCAATTCATTCTCCCACACAATCAGATCTCAAAATTTCGTAACATTCCTTTTGATTTAAGTATTCTCAAAAACCAACAATTTAGGTATGACAACTAGATTTAGTACCTGAAAGTGTTGAAACTATCTTCAAGGCTTTCTGTTTTGCCTTATCATCTGCTAAATCTAATTTCAGCACAAACTTCTGCAATTATATAAAATCACAAATATTTATAAGTTAATAAAATATTAGATGATTTAAGGTGAATCAAAATTCTAGTGAAATATTTGGAAAGAGAAAAATGAAAGGAAGAAGTGGGAATCATATACCTTCATTTTAGTGTTGCTATATGGGTTTATGAAGATGAGAGGAAGAGAAAATGAAAATGAGAGAAGTTAGAAAGAAAAATAGAAAAGGGTAAGTGATAAGAGAGAGAGAGAGAAGAGAGAGAGAGAGGAGAGTGCGGTATACGGAATCAAATAATGTTGAAACAATATGGACACACTTTAATACCGGAAAATGAGAATGAGAACAAGGTTTTGCAGAGTAGGAGAGAGAATGATAAAGGTGGAGAGAGAAAATTAAACATGCAGACACAGTGGTACTAGAGAGAGAGAGAGAGAGAGAGAGGTGTGATTATAAAATCAATGAACAAAACTATCGTTTTCATGTGACGCGTAAACGTCACGCGAAGATGTGTGGGCGTGTGACAAGTTGGTTAAGTGTCGCAACCATTACCACAAGGTTAAATTAGTGGTTGAGGTTGTGGTTTTTTTTTTCTTGGTTCAATTAAGTGGATTAATTGTGTCACGTATTGTAATGTTTGGATGAGGAGGAATTTAGGTATAGACCGAAATGTTTGTTTTTATATAGGTGAAGTAATGGTGTGAATAAAAATAATAATAATGTTGCTTGTTTATCCATGAAAGAAGTGTTGGTTGTTTATAACAACATGTTCATGTTTTATGGTGAAATTTCTTTTTCGGTTGTTTATAACATGTACATGTGTCCTGCTGAAATTTCTTCCTCGGTTGTTTATAACATGTACATGTACATGTTCCAAGTTGTCAAGGAATGCATTTGATGTGCTTGTTGTGTTTCGACCTACTACACCATTGATGTATTGATGGATACTTTGTCTACTTGATTTCTATATAAGTTATAGTTTTTCACGGTGATATGTATATTCTTAAAAACTAATATGTTATAAGGATTTTGGAGCCTAAGGTTCTTACATATTAAAAACATTAAATGACATGCATTTATCAATGATAATATGAAAATATTAAATCACATACATTCAGCTTAATTAGTTGAAAGATGCATAATGTGAGATAAGAAGTTACAACATGAAAAGTAATTTCTTCTGTGTCTCCAGAGTATTTTTCAGGAAGATACCATGTAAATCTCTCCGATCAATTTAATGATTGGCCGCATCTCACGCACATGCAATTACCAATAATCTCTCTTATCTAGAGAGAAAAATGTGTCACTATTCAGATATTCAAATCTTTTTCATTCAAGCTGTATTTTTCATTTTCTTATTGACTAGCGGTTTGAGTGCTAACATTGCAGATCAGCTCATTTCAACCTCTCTGATCATTTAGTTCCAGAGCAAAACATTAGTGACGTTTGTGGGAATCAACTTCTTATTCCTACGATCTCCACAATCCATCGTTTTTCAATTCAACTAAATCTCTTCCAGCAAAATTTCAAATCTCCTTCAATTAAAACATAGATCTCCATCACAGAGCTATGCTCTCTTCCACTAGGTCCATTAAACAAATGGCGGCTTCCAAAGTTCATCGGTCCTCCGTTCAACAGCAAGTCGCTGCAACTGCTAAAGCATAGTAGCTAAGAACCATTTGCCTCGTCCTCAAAGGATGAACGATCAAATCTTAACAACTACTATTTTCGTTCCTCCGTCGCCAAATCTTGTCCAACCATGAGCAGATCAAGGAACTTCTCAACTTCCTCTATTCCTCGGATCTACTCCACAATTTCACATGGGCGATCAAACCTTTCTTCAGACCTACGCTACCACCTACCATAATCAGATATGAAACCCTCATAGGTTTTTCAGCCCTTGCAGGTTAATTTTGGTATGCAAGGGGCTAATGAACTATTGAATAACATGTACTAGATAGTTCATAAAAAAACTCACAGACATTGGAAAACAGACTAACGCAGATAAAAGAAATTATGTACAACGCCAACCTAAAAACAACATTATGTAAGACGCGATCTTGCACAAAATTGTCACGCCTGAGCAGAAAAAGGATTCAGAAGAGGTCCAAAAGTATTAAAGCCACATACGACACAAGTTTCATACACACTCTCTTGATCCCGAAGGATGGAAGGGGTATCTACACTCCTCCCAAACTTTGTGTCCCTCAGAGGAAAGAAAGGTATGAAGAAGATACCTCGCTCAGCCTTGGAAGAAGAACCTTATTTTTGCTCTTATCGTGGATAGCAGGATCCCAAAATTACTGGAGAAGACTTCGAAATTCTAGAGTTATAACAGAATTGGTGATCCAAACTAACAAGCCAAACATGTAGATGTCTGATTAAACTATTACAATGTTGATGGATCGGTAAAGTGAAAGCTATTTACACTAGCCCTAAATGATTCATTCTAGCTTGGTACAAGTACCTCGCAGATGGGAGCATGGATTCCTCGTTTGAAATGTGTGAAGCTTTTGCCTCCCATTTCACTTCTAGGAAAAGGCATCAAACCACCATAGTTATGCTTAACGAAGTCATCTGGGGGTAAGAAAAAATCCCCACAGGGCTATATTGACCACTTTACCAAAGTGGTAGTAGATATGATCTTGAAGTTCTAGATTTTAGAGAAAGACATCTGATCAAATTTTGCATTTTGGGAGAAAATAGGGCGCAATAAGGCCCATAATTTGAAAGATTTATTGAGTTGGGTGCAACCCTACATCAACTACGAAGAAAAATTATTGGATGATAGAGGAAGACGAGTTCCAGAGAATGCAGGGTCTAGCCAACCATCAAATAAAGATTTTGGATATACCAAGCAAGAGAACGAGCGTAGACCGCACCCAAGGTTCGATGCATACACTCACTTGAATGCTTTGAGGGAAAGAATCTTAAAAGAGTGTTCCAACACTGAATTTAAGAAGGTCGAGATAAAGAGTTTGTATTTGGTCATGGAATCTTCACAGATCGACCGGTCCAAGTACTGTCTTTTCCATAAGAGTTTTGACCATAACACCAACGATTACATCCAAATAAAGGATGTAATTGAGTGGCTAATCAAGATAGGATGGTTGTCTGAGTACAACAAGGATGACAAAAGGAGGCGGAGAATTTCCCCAAGAGGAAGCAATCCCCTAAGGAAGTTGTTGAAGTTGTGGCCCTATGAAGGTTCTGAACTATAGGGCTTCAACGACATCGTAACCAATATATGGGGTGTACATAGTGTTAATGATTACCTTGAGGGAAGGAAGAGATACCAATATTGCCAACTCCTAATTCCTGGGTTTTCCTTGCAACAACGTATGCAACTTCATCATAGGTTGGCTCTTCGCAGTAATTCTGGACGCAATGGCTTCCCTAGTTCACCTCAAGTTGAAGTACCACAATTTGTACGACGAGATAACAATAACCAGCACCAATATTTCTAGAGAGAAGAGGATCTAGAATGCCTTGCAACAAGACCAGAAAGAAGGTGAAGCTAAAATCATGGAGATCAACATGGATTTTTGGATTGGATTGCTGAACACATGGTCACCAAGCCTCCTATGAGTAAGGAAAGTCGTATGAGTCAGGAGAGAAAAAGTAATTGATCCTAACTGATCTGAACAAGAGAAATTTCCACAAAACCCATGGCCAACAAGAAGCAGTTATGCCGCTTTATTATGTTAAGTTTAATTATTATTATTTTTTGTAAATTTTAAATGTGTTATAATTATTCAATTAAAGAATAAAGGAATTTTCCCTCACTAAATTATTTATTTCCAATGTGATTATGAATGTTGCAAATGAATTTAGATTACAACCATAGAGATTGAAGCACCATCACAAAGACTCTAGGATGTTATCACAAACACCATAGATGTACAACTAAAGAAATAAAAATCCCACAATACCAACGCGCGCAAACACACAAATATAGAAAACTTTAAAATTTGAAAATATTCATCTCACCCCACTTGGAAGCTAGCTACTCCAGAGGTAGTGGTGGTTCACAATGCATTAAAATCAAACTAGATTTTCACCTAAGGGCATAGGAAGAGGTACCGACCCTTGGTCGGGATGGTCCCTATAGACGTATAATAAACTCCGAGTGAAACTCATAAGGAAAAATAAGTCCAATAAATAACTAACGTACATATATGCATTGTAGGAAAAAAAATTGTCAAAGCAAAAATAGCACCAGACACGAATACAAAAAAAAGGAGGAACTATGTTGGACATGTGACTCCACACACAAGAGGGGGTGAATTGTATGTTTCAGAAAAATTGTAGTTTGAAAAACTTTCACAATTATTTTCAGAGTTTAAAAACATTTAGAAGCTTTTTAAGAAATTAGTAGTAGAAAGATAATGAGAAAATAAAGAGTTAAGGGTAAGAGAAGTAACACCAGAAATTATAGAGGTTCGATCAAAATAAAGTGACCTAATCTTCTCCTCAATATTTGATCTTGAGAATATCCAATAATTCGTAATAGATTTTAGTATGTTTAACTCTCGAACCCTCATATACAAGGAAAAATAAAGTTACAAGCTAACTTCCAACCAAACAGTGAACATCAGAGAAAAGCAGTTAGTCTTCCTTCCAAATGACAGATTGAAGCGATTAGTCTTCTTTAAAAAAAAAACAACTTGAACCAGTTAGTACCTAAGATAGATTGAGATTTTCCGTGGGCTTATCCCGAACCAAGGTGAGCTTTTGAACCAGGCTGAACACACGAACCGAACCATGGTTTTAACCAGGCTGACTACGAACCACTGATACAAGATTTTGACTATACCAAGCTTACAAACCAAACCAAGTATTTTACCAGGATAACGAAGAACCAATTTGAGATTTTGAACCATGCTGATCTCAAGTCAAAGAAATATTTTGATAGGCCTAGATTACAAAATGAAACGACGACTTAAAATCTAAATCCTTAAACCAAAACTTTTTAACAGGTTTAACTATTAACCCAAATACACAATTCCAAATGGATAGATTATTCAACCAAGCAAAAATAACTCCTTGGTAAATTTACAACAACGCCCTTTCTAAAATTACAAGAATACCTCACTAAAAAAAGAAAATTTTCAAAACGCTACTGCTAAACTTAAGTGAGATAAATTTG